GTCTATAGTTGTGTGACGTAGTATAGTGTCTATAGTGTCAATGTGTGAAATAGTATGCTGTCTATTGTTGTGTGATGCAGTATAGTGTCTATTGTTGTGTGACGTAGTATAGTGTCTATTGTTATGTGTAGTATAGTGTATATTGTTGTGTGACATAGTATGCTGTCTATTGTTGTGATGCAGTATAGTGTCTTGTATGATGTAGTATAGTGTCTCTTGTTGTATGATGTAGTATACTGTCTCTTGTTGTGTGATGTAGTATAGTGTCTATTGTTGTGTGACGTAGTATAGTGTCTATTGTTATGTGTAGTATAGTGTCTATTGTTGTGTGACATAGTATGCTGTCTATTGTTGTGTGATGCAGTATAGTGTCTTGTATGATGTAGTATAGTGTATATTGTTGTGTGACGTAGTATACTGTCTCTTGTTGTGTGATGTAGTATAGTGTCTATTGTTGTGTGACGTAGTATAGTGTCTCTTGTTGTGTGATGTTAGTGTCTATTGTTATGTGTAGTATAGTGTCTATTGTTGTGTGATGTAGTATAGTGTCTATTGTTGTGTGACGTAGTATAGTGTCTATTGTTGTGTGACGTAGCATAGTGTCTATTGTTGTGTGACGTAGTATAGTGTCTATTGTTGTGTGACGTAGTATACCTGGATACCTGGATTGTTGTGTGATGTATACTATCTATTGTTGTATGACGTAGCATAGTGTCTATTGTTGTGTGATGTATACTATCTATTGTTTTGTGATGTAGTATAGTGTCTGTTGTTGTGTGATGTAGTATAGTGTCTATTGCTGTGTGACGTAGTATAGTGTCTATTGTTGTGTGATGTAGTATACTGTCTATTGTTGTGTGCTGCAGTATAGTGTCTATTGTTGTATGATGTAGTATAGTGTCTATTGTTGTGTGATGTAGTATAGTGTCTATTGTGTGATGTATCATAGTGTCTACTGTTGTGTGATGTAGTATAGTGTCTATTGTGTGATGTAGTATAGTGTCTATTGTTGTGTGATGTAGTATAGTGTCTATTGTGTGATGTAGTATAGTGTCTATTGTTGTGTGATGTAGTATAGTGTCTATTGTTGTGTGACATAGTATAGTGTCTATTGTTGTGATGTAGTATAGTGTCTATTGTTGTGTGATGTATTATAGTGTCTATTGTTGTGTGACCAATAACTCATTACAGTTGTGACCGGGTGTGGAAGTGTGAATTGCTCATTACTCTATAATTTGTTCATGATTGTAGCCATGTATAAACGTAAGTAACCATTCTTACAGGATTCATTACCTTTGTAACTTGTGAGTTCATTACCTTTGTACCTAGTTCAGCTATCAAAACTTTGGGGGCCCAGTCCCTGGACCCATTACGTACCTCTGTAATCTGTAAATACCTTTGTAACTTGTCATGATTGTGACCAGACCTACCTGGAGTTCATTACCTTTGTAAATTGTGAGTTCATTACCTCTGTAACTTGCTCAGCTATCAAAACTTTGGAGTCCAGTCCCTGGACCAATTATGTACCTCTGTAATCTTTTGACTACCGCCCACAGGATGGGTATGGGGTGCATAATAAACATATTAAACTAACTATTGTTGTGTGATGTGTTTATTGTTGTGTGACGTAGTATAGTGTCTATTGTTGTGTGATGTAGTATAGTGTTTATTGTTGTGTGATGTATAGTGCCTATTGTGTGATGTAGTATAGTGTCTATTGTTGTGTGACGTAGTTTAGCGTCTATTGTGTGACGTAGTATAGTGTCTATTGTTGTGTGACGTAGTATAGTGTCTATTGTTGTGTGATGTAGTATAGTGTCTATTGTTGTGTGACGTAGTATAGTGTATATTGTTGTGTGATGTGTCTATTGTGTGATGTAGTATAGTGTCTATTGTTGTGTGATGTAGTATAGTGTCTATTGTTGTGTGATGTAGTATAGTGTATATTGTTGTGTGATGTAGTATAGTGTATATTGTGTGATGTATAGTGTATATTGTTGTGTGATGTAATATAGTGTATATTGTTGTGTGATGTGTCTATTGTTGTGTGATGTAGTATAGTGTATATTGTGTGATGTAGTATAGTGTCTATTGTTGTGTGATGCAGTAAGAATGATAACAAATTCCCACTCCCGCCAGTATACTCCACCAATTTTCAAAAGTCTGAATCTGCTCACCATTAAGAACATCCATACTTATTCATGTGCCTACTACATACACAGAACAATACACGCAAATATAAACCCTCCACTCAAACTTCTCCTCACCAACCTAAAGAGGATGTGGAAAATTGCATTTATCTGAATGTATCATTATATACATAACAGTAAATGAACATAGATAATTATTATTTATCAGTTAGACAAGTAGGAATTTGGGACACCTAGGTCGCAAAAAATGTCCCCCTTCGATACCTACCACTGTCATATCCACAAGTTGCTCTGGACCTATTAATTAAATGAAATATACATCTTTTTTAGATGAATGGTTCAGAGAACCGACATGTTGATAAATTAGACACCCAAGAGTTGCACATGTGTCTAATTTATCGAAATATACATCACCAGGAATGCTGGTAAATATATAAATTTGTGGACTGTATATTAAAATTTAAAAAGGATTATAGTATATACACACATTTACATAACAGAAGGATAATATCTTAATATCACTCACCAATTTAACTGGAGATTAACTTGTATCATACTCAGAAAACCTCACTGTCTATACATGAAAATAACAACTGGCCAGAGTTATAACATAACAGACTTATCTGAGGTTCCTGGAGCTGTCTTGTCCAGTCGTCTGATATCTCAAGTTATGCAGGAATGCACATCCAACAATTTCGCCTCCTATTTGAGAGGTGTCAGCCCAATTTTAGCCTCTAGAGCACGAAAATTCCTTCCCATTGCACTTGTGGAAAATTGCATTTAGCTGAATGTATTATTATGTACATAACAGTAAATGAACAGATAATTATTATTTATCAGTTAGACAAGTAGGAATTTGGGACACCTAGGTCGCAAAAAATGTCCCCCTTCGATACCTACCACTGTCATATCCACAAGTTGCTCTGGACCTATTAATTAAATGAAATATACATCACCAGGAATACTGGTAAATATATAAATTTGTGGACTGTATATTAAAAAATAATTATATATAAATTCACATACACATAACAGAAGGAAAATATATCTTAATATCACTCACCAATTTGACTGGATATTAAGTTGTATCATACTCAGAAAAACCTCACTAAATTTATGAAAACACTGGCCAGAATTATACACAAATCGAGAGAGCTTATCTGAGGTTCCTGTAGCTGTCTTGTCCAGTCGTCTGATATCTCAAGTTATGCAGGAATGCACATCCAACAATTTCGCCTCCTATTTGAGAGGTGTCAATCCAATTTTAACCTCTAGAGCACGAAAAATTCTTCCCATTATATTAACGTTGTATCCAATTCAAAGCCAAGATGGCGAGTGCCTCGTCTGCGCAGACGCAGGCTTTCCGCTTCCTATGACATAAATATTTTTATATACAGTATGGCCATATATTTACATATAAATACTGAATTTCTGGAAAATATATACAGTATTTTCCACAGCACTAACGTTGTATCCAATTCAAACAAACTGGCGACTTCTGCGCAGACGCAGGCTTTCCGTTTTCTATGACATAAATATTATTAAATACAGTATGGCCATCTATTTACCTATAAATTACCGTATTTCCGGAAAATATACAGTATTTTCCACACAGGACACATGACCACAACACAAGACACAGATCTCTTTTTGATATACCTCGTGTCCATGTCACACTGTGTAAAAACTCTATGCACATAAAGGGCCCCAAAATATGGAATTCATTGCCATATGTTAAAGTAACCCAGTCTGAAAATCAATTTAAGACTCTTCTCAAAAGCCACGTAATCGCCCTAGACTAAACGCTAAATACTCAGTACACACTTACTTATGTACTCCCACAACATAACTTCAACAATCACTTTGAACCTTTTATCCATTGTTGACAGGAATATAATTGAATCATTGTTTTTACAAAAAGCATTTTCAAATATATGAATATATCTTATGTCTTATACAAATTTTGATTCATTTATAATTAATAATTTACTATACAACTATGAAATAATTACTATCCTACTGTACAACTATGATATAATCCTTAGTGTTAAGTAGTCTGAAAGCCAATAATGTTAAGAATAAAACTAAGTATGCCCGAAATGCCTAGCCATGCTAAGCGTTCTAGTGGTACACTCTGTAATCACAATTTTACTACATGTAAACCAAACAATAACCAAATTTCTGTAAACTCAGCATTGTAATCCTTATAGAGAATAAACTTTGAATTTGAATTTGAATTTGAATTTGAAGTTGGCCCATAATGCCAAAGCATAATAGAGGCTCTCTTTGCATTGCAACCCACTATTGTAAATACAAAATCGCAATGTACTGTTTGCAAAGACATAAAATAAATAAATAATAAAATAAATAGTGTCTATTCTTGTGTGATGTAGTATAGTGTCTAGTGACAGTGAGTTCTCAGGGACAGTGGTCTTGGATTATTATTATTAGTATTATAATCAAGGGGGAAGCGCTAAACCCGGAGGATTATACAGCGCTTAGGGGGGATGTGGAAGGCATTCAGGCTTAATTCGGGGAACTGGAGCACAGATCCAATTCCCTAAATCAAGAGCCCCTCACCAACATCAAGGAACCTTCCTTGAGGGGCAGTGGTCTTGGAGCCATACATCACCTCCTTATAGGTCTTGGTAAAGTCTGTTGTTATTGACTCAGTTGGAGATTATCTGGCTCTGCCGGGGTTTAGGCAAGACAGACGTTCCATCTGACCTATTTATGAATTCATCGTTTCCGTTTCTCTTCAGAGGAAACTGTATTTTCTATATATTTCCCTCCTCCAGACTTAGGCATATATTGTTCCTCCGCACTCCCGGGAAGAATGGCTCAATAAGGCGTGAGTTATGGTGGCCTTTAACAGCAACAATAACAACAACATATGAGCAATGGAAAACACGTTAGTTGTTATTTTATAAGGAGACTAGAGAGGCTGTATGGAGAAGTCATGCTGGAGAAGCTTGCGTGTGAGTGGCAGCGAGCTGGAGCAAGTAGTGCAGCAGGAGAGGAACAAGTGGAAGATATTCCGCATTCAACAGGTTGGCTGGATTAGATTTTGCCACCGAAGTTAGTTTAGTTTAATATGTTTATTATGTACCCCACGTAAGTAACCATTCTACAGAATTCATTACCTTTGTAACTTGTGAGCTCATTACCTTTGTACCTAGTTCAGCTATCAAAACTTTGGGGGCCCAGTCCCTGGACCCATTACGTACCTCTGTAATCTGTAAATACCTTTGTAACTTGTCATGATTGTGACCAGACTTACCTGGAGTTCATTACCTTTTTAAATTGTGAGTTCATTACCTTTGTAAATTGTGAGTTCATTACCTTTGTAAATTGTGAGTTCATTACCTCTGTAACTTGCTCAGCTATCAAAACTTTGGAGTCCAGTCCCTGGACCAATTATGTACCTCTGTAATCTTTTGACTACCGCCCACAGGATGGGTATGGGGTGCATAATAAACATATTAAACTAAACTAACTGTACCCCATACCCATCCTGTGGGGGGTACACCGAAGTGGCTAGTTTATTGTGCACCCCATATCCATCCTGTGGACGGTAGCGCAAGAACATATGGATACACAAAAGGCCGAGGAACTAGGTCCCAAATGGGTTAAGAGGTGTACATATGGGTTTATATATACATATCTACAGTTCACTTATCTGTTACAAGCAAATTTAGGAAATTTGCTTAGTATATCTGGTATCTTATTTTCATTAATAAGATATCTTGACATGTCACATAGGTTATTATACTCTCTGTCTCTGTATTCCTCAATAAGTGGACAATTAAGCACATAGTGTTCAAGACAGTGACCATATACCTCATCACATAATTTACATTTAGTTTGATCATCATCTGTGTGTCTCCCAAACTGCCAGAAGTACTTGTAACCAAGCCTAAGTCTGCCCACTACAACATCAGTCAGTCTGTTCACATTGCAAGTTACTCCATAAACATATTTATCTACGTTCATGTTATCATAGTGGGTTATAGATCTACTCAGGCTTCTAACTGCATTTCTTTAACAATCAATTTCATTATTTACTTCTCTCCTAATATTATTCCTAATGCTAGACACAGATATACCAAAGTTATATTCTACATTCTCCTTCTGAGTACTCTTCTTGGCTAACATATCAACTTTATCATGAAGGAGTAATCCAATGTGTGATGGGATCCATAGCAATTGTACATTAATTCCTTTGTCCCTGATTTTTGAGTATCTATACCTGGTTTCTCCAATGAGCATGTTGTTGGAGTCAATGATGTCAATGATGACATAGAATCAGTAATAATGATAGAGTCAAGCTCGGTGTCATAAGTTAGCTTTAGCACCATTAGGATTGCAAACAGTTAAGTTTGCAATGTAGAAGCACAGTTGTTAATTCTTATGCCTAGTTCAACAAGTTTATTATCGTTCTTAACTACGGAGGTGGCAACAAGAGTAGATGCAGCCCTGCCAAAAGACTCCTATTTAGATCCATCAGTGTATATAACTTGTGATAACTTATTACTACCAGCTAGGCAAAAAATTTCTTCTTTAGCAGATTGTGTTGGACACTTGTCAAAGTTAATTAAAGAGACAAATCAGCTGTAAAAATTTCTGCCATGATTCTGTTAGTGTTTCCTCAAGGTTATAATATAATGTATGTACTTCCTTGTGATATGATATGTTAGTGCTTCCTCATGATTATAATGTTATAATATGTCAGTGCTTCCTCAGAGTAAAGGAAGCGTGTTGACAGTGATTTCTTCTGCCTTAGAATATTTCATAGCTCCTGATGAAGCACAGGAAAGCATGAAAGATCGTGAGCTGAAGACTTACATACCCTGTGGCCTATCTTACAGTGTTACCATCACCTGTCTACTATTGTATTGCTGCACTTATAATTATTTTTATAATTTATAATTTAATATTATATAAATATATATATATATATATATTATATATTTATAAAATAAAATATATATAGCAAAACAACCACTGTGAAAGAGTAGGAAAATTCCAAGCGCTTTCGTGACTACTCACATTGTCAAGGAACTACGAAAGTAATGCATCAAAGGAAGGCAATTTAAAGGGCTTAGACCACACCTCACAGTCAACTCCACAACAAAGAAACACCTGACGCGGGACAATACCGGACTCATAAGAAAGGGGAACACTGCAGTAGGTCCGTGAATGATAGTAAAATCATTATAACGTAATATATAAATATATATAATATATATATATATAATATATTTTATAATATATATATATTCTAGGTAGTGGGTTTGGGGTAAACAGCAACCGCCCGGGGAGGTAACCGTCCTGCCAAGTGATGTAAAAACGGAAGCCTGTAATTGTTTTACATGATGGTAGGATTGCGGTGTCCTTTTTTCTGTCTCATAAACATGCAAGATTTCAGGTATGTCTTGCTACTTCTACTTACACTTAGGTCACACTACACATACAGTAAAAAATATATACACACTCATCTGGGTTTTCTTCTATTTTTTCTTGTTCTTGTTTATTTCCTCTTACCTCCATGGGGAAGTTGGGAAAAGAATTCTTCCTCCCTAAGCCATGCGTTTGTAAGAGGCGACTAAAATGCCAGGGGCAAGGGGCTAGTAACCTCTTCTCCTGTATATATTACTAAATTAAAAGGAGAAACTTTCGTTTTTCTTTTGGGGCCACCCCACCTCGGTGCGATAATGGCCAGGTGTTGAAAAAAAGAAAATATATATATATATATACATGTATATATATATATATAAAATATATATATATATATATATATATATATATATATATATGTGTGGTGTGTGTGTGTGTGTGGTGTGTGTGTGGGGTGTGTGTGTGTGTGTGGGGTGTGTGTTGTGTGTGTATGCATGTGTGTTTTCTACAATATACCCTACATATTTATAAAACATACATGCATACATACACAAATATATACATACAGTACATAAGAGTTGTTAGCATGTAAGTTGTACATTATCATGTAAATCATGTCAGTGCTTCATATTGAATATCCTACTGCAGTAGTGAATCATTACATACCATTATAGACAAATAATTTCAATGTTTGTATTTTATGAACATAGATTTGTAAAACTTAGAAGAAAATATCTGCATGAGAAGAATTGTGTAACATTAGATGCCTGAATTCAACAGTTATATGTATTGTGTTGTGGGCGACGTAAACTGTTTAGAGGGTCTGGTATGTAAGTTTGAAGTGCCTGGGGTAAATAATAATTGGAGGCCTCAAATTGAGCTATGTACGAAAAGAGGTTTGCTAATAGGTAATATGTATTTAAAGAAAAAGATAAATAAATAGATACAGTATAGTGCATGATACAAGCAGTTTGCTGGACTTTGTGTTAGTTAGATAAAAGGTTGATGGGTTGATTCTGGATGTGTGTGTGTTTAGAAGGGCAGCATATACAGTATATCAGATCATTATTTAGTGGTAGCTACAGTGAGAATAAGAGGTAGATTGGGTGCAAGGAGAATGTCATCAGTAAGAGAGAGGTGAAGGGTTATAAATTATAGGAGGAGATAGGGTAAAATATAAGTAACTATTAGGAGAAAGGTGGTCTAGAAAGAATATAGGTAGTGAGAAGGGGTAGACATAAGATTTTGTTTGGATTTTTAACCCCAAAGGGTTAGCCACCCAAGATAACCCAAGAAAGTCAGTGCATCATCAAGGACTGTCTGTCTTATTTCCATTGGTTTCCTTAAATCTTGTACCCCACGATGCGACCCATACCAGGTACATACTGCTAGGTAAATGGGGACAACAGGTGTTAGGAAACATGCCCAATGTTTCCACCCTTGATGTGGATTGATCCACAGACATTGTGTGTGAAGCGAGAGCGTTGCCTACCTGGCCACAGGGTAGATTTAAATGCACTTTATTTCAAGTTTAGGATAGCCTACATGTTCAGTAGATGTAGTCATGCAATAATTTCTGTTTTAATTTATTCCAGGTACGGGAGCAGGCAAAAGAAGAAGCCAGGCGTATTCGTGAATCTGTGCATAGTAAAAAGTCACAAATGATCCAAGATTTAAGACAGGACCTATACCAACAGTGGCAAGCAGAGAAAGAGAATCAGGTACAGGAGCTGCAAAAGGAATATAAGGAATCCCTGCAGGCACTTGGCAAGGCTCATGAACTTGCTAGTCAACAGGTAATTAAGTGATATCAATTAAGAAATTTTTTCACATAGTAGACATATATAATGTATTTTACTGGAAATAATTGGATGATCTCCTATACAGTATGAGTGTTCAGTGTACATAAAACTGGACAGGAGAAAGTAGAGGATTTTTCTCAGTGTAATATGGCAGAGTGCCAATGGAGGATTGGAGCCATTTTCTAATGTATAGTAACGTCTGTCTGTGAAGGAAAACTTTCTGATATTTTTGACATTACATTGTCCTAAGTTACACCTTTTGTCTCTTGGTCATTTTTGTTAATAAAACTAGGTTTTCTATTTTTTATTTA